TGTGCCTCTGCTTGCTTGTTTAAGCTTCTGTGTTATTTTGGTATTTGCATCAGAACACTATGTTAGAATTTCATATTTTTGGCAGAATCTGTTCAATTTTAGTAGTAATACACTGCATGGGGCAAACCTTAAAGATCTAAGCTTTAAACATTAAGCTTTAGCATGCACTTATAGTAATTGCAGGGATAAATGGGATAATTATATTAGTGTAATGACTATGTAGGGATGTTGTTTCGCAATTATTTGGGTTCTTTCTTGCTTTAATTCCATTTCTCTAGCTGTCCTACTTTTTTTGACAATATCTCCAGTTCTCCACTCTATTTTTAGTAGTACAAAACATCAGCAATATGCAGCTTATGCTGGAATATTTGCCAATTCAATTTGTTTTTTCCTTGTATCCAATTGTTTTGCTTTTTGTTTATTTCAATGAATCTACATGACCAAAAAACAGAAAAAAAATACAAGCTTTACTTTTTCACCCAAAAGAGGAGTCAAACTTTCGGTGCGGACTTCCTTTTCTTCAAGCCGGCAGCCGTCAGTTTACTTTCTCCACCTCCTCACTAATTAGTTAAGTAACTTTATCTTCGCAGTTGCGTGTTGCAGCCTTTCTTTGTTGTCGTTTTCTTAGTTCCTCAACTTTAGACACAGATCATTAACCTTTTTTCTTTTTGTTGAAACAGTTACTAAGAGTTGATTATTCTTCTTGTGATATTTCTAGTGTCCTGAAAAATCTTGGGATATTTAAATGCTGGTCAGATTTGTTGTTTATTTTTTCTAATTGATATACATATATTATATAAGGTTATACATGTATTATACATAAATTATATATAAGTTCCTGCTATTTTAAGTTGCGGCTACTTTTTGTCTTTGAATTTTTTGTCAAATCTTTGACCAAGTATCCTTTTAATATTCCCCTTTTCCTATGTAACTACCTGCTTCCCATATTATTTTTTTTACAAGAGTTTTACATGTGCTTCTTTCTCAGAATGAAGCAACACCTAAAAACTCTTCTTCTCTACCTGCTAATAACCGTACTTTCTAGTATTCAATCAGCTTCAGCAACTGATTTTGTCATCAATAGCTTTATATCATCAGATATGTCAAGGTATGGGGATGCAACATTTGAATCCGGAATACTTAGTCTTTCCATTGACACACCTTTCTATTCAGATGGTAGTGCTCTATACCCTTCAAAGATTGTCACAAAAAAAACAAATTCATCTTATGTTCTTCCCTTTTCAACATCTTTCATTTTTTCAATGGCACCTTACAGGGACAGGCTACCAATTACACTTGGCGGTGGCATAGTTTTCTTGTTTATGCCACACACAGGTATTAATGCTGCTATTTATTCAAACTTAGGTTTCATAAATGGAGATATTCCCAATAACCAAGTGTTTTGGGTTGAGTTTGATGTTTTCAAGGATCAAGAATTCAATGACATAAATGATAACCATGTTGGAATTGATGTCAATTCTCTTGAATCAGTGTTTGCTCATGAAGCAGGCTATTGGTCTGATAAGTACAATAAGTATAATGATAATGGTAGCCTAAATGAAAAGTCTTTCGAGACTTTAAAGTTGAATAATGGAAGAAACTACCAAGTTTGGATTGACTATGCAGATTTCCACATTAATGTGACTATGGCACCAGTTGGTATGAAAAGGCCTAAGCAACCTTTGTTGGATTTCCCTCTGAATCTTTCTCAAGTTTTTGAGGACGGAGATGTATGTGGGGTTCGCAGCATCCACTAGAGGTCAAGCTCAAGGTCACAAGATCTTAGGTTGGAGTTTTAGTAACTCGAATTTTTCGATAAGTGATGCTTTGATCACTCATGGGTTGCCTTCATTTGAGCTTTCTAATCCAGTTTATCGATCGAAGGGATTCATTGCAGGTATGACAATGTCACTTTTCTTTCTTGTTGTGGTCACTTCTGTAGCTTCATTATTTCTGATTAAGAGAAATAGGAGAATAAAAAGGGAAAAAGAGGGTATGGAAGATTGGGAATTGGAATATTGGCCACATAGGATTACTTATCAAGAAATTGATGCTGCAACAAAGGGTTTTGCTGATGATACTGTGATTGGAATTGGAGGTAATGGGAAGGTTTATAAAGGGGTTTTGGCTGGGGGTTCAGAGGTTGCAGTAAAGCGCATTTCTCATGAAAACAGTGAAGGGGAAAGGCAATTCTTGGCTGAGATTTCAAGTCTTGGTAGGCTAAAGCACAGAAATTTGGTGGCATTAAGAGGCTGGTGCAAGAAAGGTAGAGGCAGCCTGATTTTGGTTTATGATTATATGGAAAATGGGAGTTTGGATAAAAGGTTGTTTGAATGTGACGAGAGAAACATGTTGAGTTTTGAAGATAGAATTAAGATTTTGAAAGATGTGGCATCAGGGGTTCTATACTTGCATGAAGAGTGGGAGGCAAAAGTGTTGCATAGAGACATTAAGGCTAGCAATGTTTTACTTGACAAGGAAATGCATGCAAGAATTGGTGATTTTGGTCTAGCCAGAATGCATGATCATGGTCAAGTGGCTAACGAGTCTTGAGTTGTTGGGACAGTGGGTTACCTGGCGCCAGAGTTTGTCAAGACTGGCCGTGCCTCCACGCAAACTGATGTGTTCAGTTATGGAGTTCTAATATTGGAGGTGATGTGTGGAAGGAGGCCAATAGAGGAAGGCAAGCCACCTTTAGTGGATTGGCTGTGGGAACTAACGGAACGGGGTGAATTGAGTAATGCCTTTGATAATCAATTAAGGAATAATGAAGGATTTAATGAAGAGGAAGCCTTAAAGGTATTGCAATTAGGCATGATATGCACGAGCCTAGACCCCAAAGTTAGGCCAACCACAAGACAAGTAGTGAAATTCTTTGAAAGGAACTGTGAGGTAGATGAATCTGAAGCTGAGGACATGGATTTATACCTTCTGGAAAGTATGAGACCTAATACCATGTTGACCAATTAATGTTCTTCCATGTCTATTTCTTGGACAAATACTCTAGTGGAGGGTAGGTGAGTTTAATTAATATCTCTGCAGACTGCAGAAGGGAATAAAATTGTTAGTTTTTGTTCATTACTCTGCTCCTTGTTATACCTTCATCTCTTTACTTCCAGGGCTTAGTGTTGGTTGAATTGGCATTAATGCTGCTTCATGAACCAATTATATAAGATGGCTAAAGAAAAAGGGTTGGTTTTGAGATATATATATGTAGTCGTTTCTTTTTTATACGTTAGGGGAACGTTTGGTATGATGTATAAAATTTTGTACTTCATTGTCTGGTGTTTGGTATTTGTTATTAATTTCTGCAAGTTAATCCTTGTATGAGTAATACATCAATTCATGTATTATTTCATATCTAATGCAATATGAGATAACAATACTTGTATTAGTCATACCATGTTTAAAGTTCCTTTATAAGACAAAACTGCCCTTAATTATAAGTTTTCTCCTGATCAAACCTCATTTAGGATACTAAAATCCAAGGGTATAATTGTAAATAATATTTTTATGGTTTTAAAATTTAAACCAAACATAATTTTAGGTTATTCAGTGTATATCCAACTTTTAAAACATCCGATAAATAATTTCTTCTCTTTTGTTTTTACAAGAAATTTTGGTCCTTATCTTCTTTATTTTTCCCCACAAGATATGTTAATGATGTACACATGAAATTGACGAGCGTTAATGTACCGATGTATAACTAGAGTTCGCACTTGTTCAAAATAGTATAAATAATATCAATCCCATGAGGATTAGGTTTATATTGTGCTATTCGATATTGCTTTACTGGTATTTGATAAATCAAAAAAGTTAGAGGAATGATTGTTGACTAAATGAAATAAAGTAAAGAAAAAATGAAACATGTACAATTAAAGAGAAAGGTTTCTAATCAATTGACTAAGATAATAGAATATACACTTCATCTATGATTATAACCTATAGTGTTCATTCTCCTCCAATTCAATCTTCTCTAAATTATGAATTTGTCTTTCGAGTACACTCAACTATTACGAACTTCTTAACTAGAAGTACTCCTCTCGATTTACTAGAAGATATGCATGACATGGACCTCTCTCCTTACATGTAGCTTTCTCAGTTGTTTGAAGTGGGATTAAAAAGAGACAATAGGGATTAAGTGGGGAAGGATTTTGACTTGAATTTGAAGGGATAAGCTTTGTGTCATAGCAAAGACTTGAGGTGATCAAAAGCTGTACTAGGAATAGCCTTTTGTTATGGTTTGGTCAAAAACCAATTGAAGCATGACTAGTGGCGGACGCAGGATGTTCATCGAGGAAATTAAAAAATAAAAAATAACAGTAAACACACCAAGAAGCTATGAGGATTCAACATCTAATATATATAGTGTAATTTTCAACGAAGGGAGTTCGGCTGAACACCGTTCTGCTCATCCATTATTTTTACTCAAAATGCTATAAAAGGAACACCAATACATACAAATAATTAAATAACCAGATTTCACTATATTTCGTGCAGATGATTAGTATTTCATAATATATGCCAAGAATCCATCAACTGGTATCAACCAATGAAATTTGTCGAATAATGAGCTTTATAATCATCTTGCATCTAATATTGAAAAAATTAATTTAACTAGCATGTTTTTGCTACAATATGATCTTGTTTGCCTCACATTTAGCTCTGTGAGGGAGGATTATTATCCTTCGCAGTAGATGCGTATTTATTGAGACTAACTATTGGCAAGCTTCTTTGTTAGAATATCCATCTACGTATAGATAGACTAAACAGCATTACTCGAAAGTTACTCCAAACAAAGAGAAACTAAATTCAGTATTTTTTAGAAGACCTGATACTACACATCCATATTAGTCATTTCAACTTTAGTTCCAAATTAGTTCAGATCAGCGATATGCTTTGCAGTTTGCACATAGGTGGATTTACCTCATAGATCCATGATTTTACTTTTGCATAAAGTTGCGCGATTATGGAACTGAGAAATAAACTTCACTTTCATAGGGGACAAGGTAACTGTTTTTGATGTCCTAAAACAATAAGAATATATGAAGTTGATAATTCCTTCTTCACCACCAATCTCTAATATTTTGTTGTTGGTTTTTGGATACAAAGCTAAACTACTTGTCAGTTTTAATATGCTAAGCTAATTGAGTATTATAATTAGGTTATTATAAGTGCAGAGTCTGAGCTCCATCATTTCAGAACTGTTACCGTGGGGGATTGGGGTTAGGGTTCAACCATTCTTGAACATCATCTCTCTGGTTTTGAATTGATCAGTCGCAATCACCTCATTTGAGAGGCAGCTGCTACATAGGGACAGACTGTTTTCCTCATCTCTTTCCTCCTTTTAATAAACTGTAGCTCTGGGGAACTTGATCTCGTCACTTGTTTGGAAGACTTGCTGTGTGTATATAGATTTAAATGTCATCTTAGTGTATGAGGAAGACAAGGAAAAGGAAAGGTGTAAAAAAGAAACAAAAAAGATAGTAGAAATTTCCAATATGCATATGCTTTCTGCATACCTTTGCGGTATGAAAGGATGATCAAAGTTAGGCATAGGTGTTGCATGGTGCACCAAACTTCTCCTTAGTTGTTTCAAGGCCTTCTCCTCTTCCATCTATCCATTTCGGAAATTAGAATTAGTGTACAAACTTTTAAGTATCTATGAATAGTGTAAGTTGATAATATGGGCAGCATACCATTCTTGCATTTTCTGCTTCCTCTCTATACCGCTTATGCATAATTTCTTTCTCCTCAATCTGTAGAGCAACTTATAAGGTGAGTGTGCAAGAAACATGCGAAAGTATAAGAACGTCCACAGGGGGGAAAAAGATTACCTTCTTATCAAATTCAGCTTTGTCAGCAGCACGGTGATCTGCATGTAGATTGAATTCCTGAACCTCAGTTAAGGGTTTCCGTTCTTTCTCCGGAACTGGAATTGGGTCCCTGCATTATTAGGTAGATAATATTAGCCATCTTTCAGTATTACTAAAACCAGACTGTAGAAGATTTATTCTTCAAAGTTCTTACTCAATCAAGACTGGCCGTGCCTTAAATAATCTCATTTTAGCTTCTTCCTCCTCCAATCTCTGCTTTTCTTCCACTTCCCTTCTCATTTCCTGTTCATGCCTAACGAGACTCTCAAGTTCGAAAGGTTCTGGTTTTGTGCACGGTTTTGGTTCTGGTTTTGGTGGAATCTGGCAAAGATACCATAATAAAATGAGCAAACTCAGGTTTGTGAAGAGGGTTAACGATAGATATCAAAGAAATTGGTACAGAATTTTCATACCACGGGATAATCAGTGGTGCAAGGATACGGAGTTGCTTTGGGATTTCTGGACCTTTCTTCCTCCATCTGTTTCTGTAGAACTTCAGTAAACAACTTCCTCTCCTTCTCAACCCCTCGCTCCTAAATATTCAGGAAAATGCCAATTTAAGAGGAGTTATTTTTTCAGCTAAGAAAAGAACAAAAACGTAAAATTATCCGAGGCATACCTCAGTGTAAAGATGAAAAGGATTTGGTATAGTGTTTCTCGGAATAGTCTTGTCATTTTGGGATTCAGAATTCAAGGAAAGCTGAAAATACGGAACGAAACAATGAGAAACAGGGGAGGTAGTTAAATAAGCGAGAAGTTCAAAAAGAAATATGATTAAAACCTTGTCAAAGAGATCATCAAAGTTTGTTGGAGTTGGTGGAATCCTTTCATCTGTAGCAAAGTGAAATTCTTGAGGCACAGTCACCTGCTTCCTTGTGTTGCAGAACACTCCCAAAGCTCCTTTACTTTCAAATATCTGCAGTTTGAAAAAGTAAGGAAAATTGAAAAAGAAAAAATAGATCACCAGAAGAATCTAGTAGGCGATAAGCGCGGATGTGGTTACCTTCCTATTCAAAGGCCTTGCCTTGAAATTGGGAGCTTTTTCAAGTTCATCCTTTTCCAGTTCTTCTGTGCTTTTAATCTTTGGAGGCCGTGCTCTTAGTGCTGTTATAAGAACAGGTGATTTAGGCGCTGTAATATGCGGCTGCCACTGATGATTCTGAGATCAAATGATTTTGTTTCCAGTCAATAATTAAAGCAAGTTATTGTTTTCATTGAGTTATTACAGGCAGTACTTGCGTTACCTGAGAAGATTCTATTGATTGAACTGAAGTTGTATCTGCATTCTTATTGGCCCTTGCCATTGTTTCCAAGCGAAACTCCTGCACAAGGTAAAGATATTAAAATGGAATGCGCTCCTGGTATGCAACTTTCCTCTCAAATCGTTGCTTTCTTGGAAATCGGTATACATACTATACCTTAAATTCTGGAAGTTGGGGTATACTTTTAGGTAATGCAGCTTGAGTTGGAGCTTTCATAATCTGTTTATCAAATATATAAAACAACGTCAGATGGTACGGTCAAAAGAAAAGATTAAAAACCAAAGGTGTGATTGCTGGTAGAGTTTGAGTTTCCATAATCAATTGCCAAATACTATGTGTATTATGAGGTACCTTTTTATTAACTGGGCGAGCCTTAAACTGTGGAAGTTTGGCCATCATTTCTTCCTCAAGCTCAGCTGAACTCTTCACTGTTGTTGGACGGACGCGTTGAGCTGTTTTAAATTTGGGTTCTTTAGGCCTGGTTATTGTAAGTTGAGGCTTCCTCCATGCTGATTCAGTTGGATTATCCTGGGTAGAATTGCTTATGCACGATAGTGACATTTTTCTTGTGCTAGATTGGAACTTCATCATCATTTCTGCTGTTGAAACAAATGGCGCAACAGGTTGTCGTTGCCTAACATACATCTTTACAGCATAAAATTTAAGTTAGATTTAGAATATTCAAATTTGCATGTAACTAGATGCAAGAAAAAGAGAGAGTCCATGATAAAAACCTTTCTCTCCCCTTTTTGAGCTTTAGCTGCTGAAGAGGATAAGTTAGAGCAGCTGTTGTTAGCTACCCCAAGTCTTGTTTTATGTGGCAAATGTTGGAGTTTGATATCAAGAATCTAGAAAATTTGGGAAGAAAGAAACAGCAAGATTAGATAAAGTACGAAATCTTCCGCATAATGCACATCCAGAGAAGATATAGAGAGGAGACTACCTTTCTGGATTTTCCCTCTTTTAGTTTTTGTCTCTTTATTGCTTGGTTTTCTTGAGAAAAATTTGGAGTTCCAACAGAACTTTTCATGATTGATTGCCTGTGCAGCAGCAAATGAAATCCACCAACTTTATTGGGACAAAAACATGTTTGTGGCCAAAGAACAGCAAGAGCATTAAGAATATCAGAGTCACAACAAGCTACTACAGCAGTAAGTCACTTACCTTTTACTCCCATGTGACTGTTGTGATTGAGTTTTTGACTTTAATTCTGAAGGGTTTCTAAGTATGCTTGCAATCTTTTTGGCTGACTGTTGCCTCTTGGAATCAGTATTCCGCGAGCCATTCTTCTGAGATGATATCGTTGGTGGTTGTGGCGTACAAGTTTCTGTCACACGAAGGTGCTAAATTAGATGCTTTATCAGCCAAATCATTTCAAGACGAAGGGGGGAATAAAACGAAAGGGACTCGTCAAAAATGGGATCGATAGAACTACTAACCTCGGACAGTAGATTGCATCTCTTTAGATTCCTGGAATTTTATAAAGCACACAATAAGACATAGGTTTCAAAAGGGGCATATGGTGCTTCTGCTATACAAGTTATGGACGCATACCGGATCAGGAAGACTTGTACCATGTTCTGGTCTGATCAAATTCGGTGTTACCTCTTCCTTATTTTCAGAAGAAGTGAGCTCAACCGCATGCCTGTTTCAGACAGTAAAATAAGTACATTGAAACCCAATTAGAACATAATTCCAAACGAGATAAGAACCCTGGAGTTTTTGCATTAATGTAAAGTTGTTGACCTTGTATTATCCTGCAATTCCTCAGCATCAGTGAAATCACATAGGCTCTCAAGTTGAACCGTTCTACCAGTCTTGATTCTTGGCATAAAAGCTGGACAGATCAACACAAAAAGAATAAAATCAACATGTCATCTCATATTGGTACTCTAATAATAATAATACTAAGAAATCAATGCAGCAACATAAACACTCCTATTTCCTGGGACATCATTACCAATCTCCACTTACAGTGTATACAACGAAACAGAAGTATTCCATGGATAAACACAGTTGAAATGGTAAGAGAATTATCCCATCGATAAACCAATGTACAAATTTTCCGGCAACTAATTGACACCCTCAATTTTTCATCTCTTGAAGTACAAAATAGGCCTCAAAATTGTGTGACATTGAATTTGCATTCTGAAGGCTATGTCAGTTGTATACTGAAAAACGTAACATTCTCTTTTTCTAAAACCGTTTCCAGTTCCAAATCAAACCTACCTAATCAGCCGAACATTGTTCAATGGGATCGAAGCTTAACCCAACCCAACAACAATAGGGGGCTAAGTATTCGGTCTTGGTTGGTTTCACAGGGTAACAAGACCAGTAATTGTTGTGAAGTACAAATGATAATTTCTTAAACTGTCCGATTCCAACTTAAAGTTCCTTATACACTAAACTACTGCGCGTGTACTTGAAGCTTTTCACAGCCAAAATCAAATGGGGAGATCGGGATGTTGCAGCAACAACAACAACAACAAACCCAGTGTAATCGTACAAGTAAGGTCCGGGGAGGGTAGTGTATACGATAGTGTGTACGCAGGCCTTATTCCCACCTTGTGAAGGTAGAGGTTGTTTCCGGTAGACCCTCGGCTTAAGAAACAAGAAGGTAAAATGGTGAGATCGGGATGCCTCTTAAAGTATATATATAAGACTTAATAAGGCATCTAAACTACCCAATAGCTGTCTATTTGACATTGACTGGTATATTATAACGGATTCCATCAAGTTGGGAGAAAAAAAGTAAATCAATTTGGGGGAAATAGCAAAGTAGCAATGTGGAGGTCAATGAACCTAAATTTAACATCCAATTATATCTAGACTCCTATCTGTATCACCATTCTTCAACCATTAAAATTTTGGACGAAGTAAATTTGTGCAAGTAACATAAACATGACCAGAACTCAGACAAAGTAAATTAAAGAATCCGCACTTATCCAACTGCCAAATTAACTCCGAAATACGAAACCCTATAAGTTTAAAGGGTCGAAATCAAAAGAACCTAATTCTTGAATATGCAATACAATTTAACTGTATTATAAAGGATTCCATTAAGTTGGAGGAAAAAAAAAAGTAAATCAATTTGGGGGAAGCAACAAATTATCAATTTGCATTTCATGTTTGTAATGAAATATAAAGTAACTGTAATTAAGTTGTGAGTAACATAAACATGATAAGACTTCAGACAAAACAAAATTAAAGAATCTATACTTTATCCACTACCAATCTGTAAGACATACAAAACCCAGGAAGTGTAAAGGGTCAAAATTTAAAGAACCGTTAAAGTTTAATTAATATATGAAACGTACGAGAAGGGGCGTAGCTGCTTGTAATCTGGAACCAATGTTCAGCTTTTCGTGTGTCCTCTTCTGTTTCTTCATCAATGAAATTATAGTATTTTGGCGCTGAGAACTCGTACGCCTCGTCGATTATGAACAAGTTCGGATCATCTACTACTGTTGCCATTTGTTCCAATTTAGAGAGAGAGATTTGTGGTTCTGTATTTGATATTTGCAAGATTTGTGAGTATTATTTTTGTGTTCAACGGTCGAATTTTTCTTTTTAGAAAGGAGAGGCGACTGTTGGAACGAGGCCACTCTAGTAACGGGCCAACGGCTATAATCGATTGTGATTTGTGAATATATACTCAAAGGGCAACGACGTCGTTTGGTCAGGTGTCCTAAATTCAGGCTAAACTAAATGAAATGAACATTTTTCTAACATTTGGTTTTCTTTTTATCGCTTTATTTTCATTTGATCATTTTGTCTCAGTTTATGTGACAGGCTTTCTTTTTTAGGTTCGTTTAACAAAAAATACACATTTCTATATTTTGAAGTAATCTAACTGTAAAATTCCCGCCAGACAAATGTCTATAACAATAACAACAAATCCAGTATAATCTCATAAGTGGGGTCTGAGAAAGGTAGTGTGTACGCAAACCTTACGCCTACCTTGAAGGTAGAGATTTTGTTCGCAATAGACCCTAGGCTTAAGAAATACTAAACAGGAAGCAAGTCAGACAAATGTCTATGAGTTATTTTAGACCACAAGTTTTTTAAATTTTTTTTATATAAACTTAAGGCCACATAAAATGCGATGTAGTTAGAAGTAGAAAAACACAAAGAGGTCGTTTGGTTTGAAGACAAGTTATGCAAAGATTAGTTATGATGAGATTAGTTATATTGAAATTAGTTATGCTGAGATTAGTTATTATGGTATTATTTCTTATTGACTGTTTGGTATGTTTATTAATCTTGGGATTGTCAATTTTACTGCTTTATCTTAAATAACTTATCCCGGGATTATTATTCCATCCCCTGGCAGGTATAAGTTATCCTGGTACTATTTTTTAATTTTGGAATAACTTATCCACGATTAGTAACCAAACAAGAGATAAGATGATACTAAATTTTTATTCCAGGATTATTTTTGATTATCCATTATACCAAACAACCCGAAAGAGTAAAAGGGGTATTAGACCAACACCCATATATATATTAAAATTGAGAAAAGAGGGCATACCCTCAATTCTTTTTTGCTTTTAAGCTATCTATTTACTTCTAGTATTATTTTGAATATAATGATCCTTTTCTATCTTCTTAAATTTTTAGAATGTAGAATATCACGTGTATAATATACACCCAATCAACACCGACTGAAAGAAAGAAAGAAAGAAACACATATTTCTACGAATCAATAAGGGAAAAAATTTATATTCTAAAAATTTATATAAGCTTCTAAAATCTCCTTTTCACATGCTCAAACTATCTCAATCTCGCTTCTCTCATCTTTCAAATTTAATTACTACCAAACTCATCTAGATGTTGAATTTTCTTTTGTTGATTAATTTTTTCTTTTACGGGTAAATATTTACTTGGAAGAGAGTCGCAATTAAGTCCCTCTTCAGTTAGGGTGTTTCGGGTGGGAGTATAGTCAACAGGCTTTAGAAATGTTGTTAATATGTCTTCAATTTATCTGTTATGACATATACTCTAACCAACATTAGAGCTCCTTAACATCAGATAATATTTATGATATATATAAAGAACAGAAGAATAGAACAATAAATAAAAGACTTGACCAATTTTTCCTGTAACGCCTACATCATTTACTATCACTAACTTTATAAATTAAGCAAATACAAACACAACTCGACCATTCTCAATTCCTCAAACAACTCAACAAAAGTTTGAAACCTCTTTAGCAACTATTATAGTAATGGCCTATTTTGTGGCTTTTCTTGTGTTTTTTCTAGCACTTTCAACATCAAGCTTGGCTTGTGATCTCAATTCAGACAACTGTTCAGATATCAATAGTAACTTCACCTTGTGTGAAACTTTTGTTGATGGGATAGATCTTACACCATCATCTCAATGTTGTGATTCTCTAAACAATCTAAATTTTATAGCAAGAGAGGAGTCAGGAGGAGCTCAAAGGATTTGCCAGTGTATCGAAAACATGGCGAATAATGGAGAACACCCTCGCTATATTGAGTCTCGTATTACTGATCTTTATAGCTACTGTCAAGTTAACCTTAGCTTCCCCATTTCTGAGCACATGAATTGTTCCAGGTACATTACGTATTTTAACATGTTGTAGCAGGTAATATGTCTTATTTTTTAAATTACTAAATCGCATTTTCTTAAGTGTTATATATGCAATTTGAACAATCATATCACTTATAAGGGAATAACAGCTCTGATCGATCTACGCTAAGCATAAACCATATCCCGATAAAAATAGTAATTTATAATAGGTTAAATTACAGTCTCTATATTGTTAACGTATCTATCTTAAATCCTTATTTCTAGCTGAGATATTATAAAATTTGAGTATAATAGGTAGAAATTAACTTACTTCTTTTGCTCTTCTGGATACTTCTATTTTTGCTAACTTGTTAACTATTTTTATCTTTCCTTGGTGCAGTATTTCCTAGTTGTAGAGCCATGCATTGGTCTCAATTCTCTTGCTTTTATGGAAATAAATTGAATGAGAGCTTGAAAGTTTCTTGTAGTAATAGTTTACTTTTACTCAGTATTTAGGCAATGCGTTTGCATGAAAGTTTCCTTCTGATTGATAATTTCTTTCAAGTTGAAAGCAACAGCTATGGCTTCTTGTAATAACTCGGTTTGGATCTTGGCATTTATTTTCGAGCAGAAGAATTTCTGATTGAGCTTGTAATTGCCTTTTTGAAATTGTAGTAAGTGTAACTTGTTTTCCCCACTCCATTAAATAACATGACTTATAGAAATAAAAAGTATATTTAATAGCTTCAAAACATTCAGACTTAGAGATAATTGTATGGGCCAAAAAATATTTTTGATATGGGCAAGCCACGTCAGGATTACTATAGCCCTCGTCAACCGCCACGTGCCATCAATAAGGTCCCCATGAAAATCGGCCTCGAGGCGAAGTAGCCTCAAAGCAATGAAGGATGCGATCGAAGAGTTAGCAAATATCAAGATTGCGAAGTCACCGTCGATCAAGGTCGAGGTCGAGCATCTTAGACAGAATTATAACGGCTAGTTCTAAGATAAGACATAAAGAAAAATATTCTAGTGAATATTCTCTTCACATGTACTATTAAGATTTTCTATGAACATGTTCCCTATAATAAAAAGAGACATAATGATATTGGACATGAGATATTCATTTGTAAAAAATACATTGACTTTATAGAGAGAATCAGGTCCTACTGCAAACATACAAAAATAACATTTTTACTAAAATTCTTATCTAGCATTTTTCGCCTGATCGAAGAAGAGCCTAAGTGTCCAAAAGCTCATCAAGCATTTATCATAGTCAGAAAGAATATCCATTGATCTCATCCCATTTCGGGTGACTCGCACGTTTTATCTACTTAAATACTATTTATTGCTATTTATTACTATTTGATGCCATACTTCATCTTTTTGGATCATTGAATACTGTTATTATTGCTTATACTCACTGCCATCCAGACAAATATACTAGTTATTTGCTACGGTCCTGACAACTTTATCTTTAGGATATTATTTTTAACAAAAATTAACTCTCCTTCATTTAAATTTAATTAGTTGAACCAAGATCGATATTTTTGGTCAAACAGTTTGGCGCCGTCTGTGGGAATTTCTAAGTTAAATTTTTAGTTTCCTTTAGATCTACAACTAACGTGAGTCACTAACTTCACAAACCCCAAAATTTTTCTCTTTCTTTGCACGTACAAAAACCTACATGGCAGGTAACTAAGGAGAGAGAACTAAAGTAACATGTGATTTCCCTAGCAACCTCATGAATGCTATCAACGAGAGCTGTGAAATACTAGGCGAGGACGTGACACCTACTGCCTCCCCTAGGCTCGAGAGGTCACCTCCTCCCCATGTAGTATAACAAAACCCAATGGAAAAGGGGCCTCCACGTCCACAGAAGGAGGGACACCACCGACAGTGAAAAAACTCCTCGAAGCGTGGCTGACTGATACGCTAGTAAGCATGCTTAACAAGACCGCTCCATGCACAACTACAGAGACCGCAAGAGCCTGCATAGTACAACGAGCAGACGAACAGACCGACCGACCAGACCCTTCAACACTAGGTATAACTCACAATGTTACTAATAGTGCAGGTGATAGAGCCCTCGCCGCTATTCTAAAGAGGATGGAGGAAATGGAGAATGAAAATAAAGCACTCAGAGTTCAAATGAAAGAACACCAAGAAAGAGTCGACAAGATACCGAGCGCTCCAAAGCTATTGCCAAAGAGGGACGCCAGCAGGTTCATACAGCAGCTGTACAACGAAGAAGCAGTTCTGCATGCCATACTAAACACCTTAAAAATTGCCGCCCTACCTCAGGAAATACGACGGAATGACCGATCCCGAAGATCATGTGACTCATTACGTCACCGCCGTGAAAGGAAACGACCTCACTAAGGAACAAGTGTCCTCTATTTTACTGAAGATATTTGACAAAACACTTACGGGAGGGGCATTAACATTGTACTTATAGCTACCAACCCGCTCCATATAAACTTTTAAGGAAATTGTCGATAAGCTCGTAACGGCGCATGCTGGAGCCAGGAAGGCCGAAACAAGAGTAAACGACATATTCGCCATCAAGCAGTCCTTGGGAGAGGGACTAAGGGTCTTCCTCGCCCGATTCAACAGGGTAAGGATGACCCTGCCAAATGTATCCGAAGGGATGGCGGTCGCGGATTTTCAAAATGGGTTGAGTAGAAATGGTTCGAGAGCAACTAGAAAACTACTGAGCCGGTTGATGAAATATCCTCTAACCACTTGGGACGAGATCCATAATACTTACTGTGCTGAAGTACGAGCAAGTGAGGATGACCTTAACGGACCAACCCATCGGCTCATCTCGGTACAAGCCGAGTCCAAAAAGGAACGAAGAGACAATATCAGGAGGGATCACCCGGTCTCAAGACCCAACAGGGAACGACACCAGCCATACGTCAGGGCCCCCGCCCCACCTTCCCTCTGCCATGAAGAAGGCCATCCAGGTCGAGGACAAGGACTCATCGGAACGAGAGAGGTATGCCCCCCTTATTATCTACTCGCAATTTTTATATATCACCTATAGAAATAGTCTATGCTCTGGAGAAACTCGGAATGAAGGTGAAGTGGCCGCCAAAGATGAGGTCCGATATGAGCACCAGAAAATCCGACGCCCTATGCGAGTTCCACTAGGAACGTGGGCACAAAACAAAAGATTGCATCACCCTCAAGCAAGAAGTTGTAAACATGTTGCGGCAGGGACACCTCAAATAGCTGCTAAGCGACAAAGGGAAAAATAACTTCGCCAGAGGACGTGAACACCAAAGTCCGCCGAAGCCGCCATCACTAGCTCATACTATCAACATGATCATCGGCGGCAGCAAGGACGCCTCCATCAACGGCGTTAAATTAACCACCACTCACAAGCTCAAGCATCTATCACCCGCAAACGGTTTGACGGACTCGAAGAAATTATCATCTTCGATGAGTCAAATGCCGACGGTTTGACTTTCCCTCATAATGATGCCCTCGTCATTACTTTGAGCATTTTAGATACTGATCTCGAATGTATCATGGTGGACGATGGATGTGGAGTGTGCATTATCCATCCCCGAGTCCTCACCTAAATGAGACATGAGAAGAAAGTAGTGCCGCACTGCATCACGCTAACCGGTTTTAATAATGCAGTTGAGCGGACATCAAAATAAATTATACTCCTTGGTCGGCGGCGTAACGCTGGAGACGACATTCCATATCATGGACCAGGCCACCGCGTACAACGCCATAGTAGGACGACCATGGATACACATGCGAGCCACCCCCTCCAGCCTATACCAAGTAATCAAATTCCTAACACCTTGGGGGATATTCAGCATACGTGGAGAACATCTTACATCCCGAGAGTACTACCGCATTTCCTTGGACAGCACGATAACCCAAAAGAAAAAAGACAAGGAAAAGGAGGCATAATAATCAATAGGGGCGAGGTCGACACAAGAAAAGACCAAGGACGTCGTCATGGATCTCGAAATAGTTGAGGCTGCGGACTAGACCATAGAAGACCTCGACCTCGTTCAAGACTGTAGTAGAAAGGCCTACATCAGCTGCAAACTTTGAGAACCAGGTAAATTCAGTCAATTCTTAATAACTAATGCAGATTTTTTGGCCTTCGGCCACGCAGATATGCCGGGAATCCCTAGGGAGATCGCCATGCACAAATTAAACGTCGACCCGTTCTACCCCTCAGTAAGGCAGGTTAGACATAAATTCAATCCCGCCATCAACGATGCCATCCGCTAGGAGGTGGAGAACCTATTAGAGAATGGCTACATCAGGGAGTCGAAGCACCCTAAATGGATTGGCAACGTAGTGATGGTCAAAAAGAAAAATGAGAAATGGCGGATGTGCGTAGATTTCACGGACTTGAACAAAGCATGCCCGAAGAATTCGTTCCCGTTACCACACATCGACCAACTCATCAACACAACGGCCAAGCACGAGTTACTGAGTTTCTTGGACGCGTACTCAAGCTATAACCATATACTTATGGAAGAAGAGGACCAGGATAAAACTATGTTCATCACCCACCAAGGAACATATTGCTATAGGGTCATGCCATTTGGGCTGAAGAACGTGGGGGCTACATATCAAAGGTTGGTCACGAGGATGTTCAAAGATCAGCTCGGCAAGACCATGGAAGTATTTATCAACGATATATTGGACAAGTTCGTAAAGGCAGAGGACTATATCGACCATTTGAAGGAAGCTTTCGACATACTAAGATGGTACGGAATGAAACTAAACCCTGAGAAATACGCGTTTGGCGTAGCCTCTAGAACGTTCTTGGGATTCTTAGTGTCACAATGGGGAATCGAAATCAACCCATACCAAATCAAAGCTATCTAAGGGATACCGGAGCTCCTGACTACCAAGAAGCAAGTTCAAAGGTTGACTAGTCGAATTGCCACCTTATCGAGATTCATCTCGCAGTCGTCTGACAGATGTCACAAGTTTTTCGGTGTGCTCAAAGAGGATAACGGCCTCGAATGGACACCCGAGTGCGCACAAGCTCTACGAGAACTGAAGGAATATCTATAGTCACTGCCTCTGCTTTCAAAGCCTGAACCCGGGGAACATCTCCTCGTCTATCTGACCATCTCTGAAGTAGCAGTAAGTGCAGTCCTGATCTGAGAAAATAAAGGTACGCAGTCTCCCATTTATTACATTAGAAAAACACTCATGAACACCGAGAACAAGTACCCGTACCTCGAGAAGCTGGCCCTAGCACTGGTCATAGCTTCATAAAAGCTTAGACCCTATTTCCAATGCCACCCTATCTCAGTCATTACTACTTTTCCCCTAAGATGCATTTTGCATAAACCCGAGCTATCGGGGAGACTGGCCAAGTGGGCTATCAAGCTAAGCAAGCACATATCACATATTAGCC